CATGGAAGCAGTATTTAATGTCTTGTGTTTCTACAGGCATGGCCAGGGAGCAGCTGATGCTGTTAATAAAACTTGTGGTGCAGGGAGCAGCTTTCCCAGGAGCAGCTGAAGCCATCCCAGATAAAACAGCAAAATTGAGTGGACTTGATATTCGCCTCCCCAGGGATCTGCATGGGCTGTGGGATGCTCCATCCTGGGCTCTTTGAAAGATCACTCCTAAATAAATCCCCTTTTATCTACGTGCAACAGCTGCCCCTTTTGCCCAGCTTTCAGGGACTCCAAAGGCTTCAGCTTTGCGTATGAAAGATTTTCCTCCCGCTGCAGGGTCAAGGGATGGGTGGCTCTTACCATTCCTTTAATTTATTTTTTTTTTAGGGGATTTTGTAGTGTTATGGCTCCTATTTGCTCTGGGAATTTTCAGGTGGGCTTGTGCCCTTGCTTTGCCTGGCAGCAAACATCCCAGCCCAGCATCCCTGGGGCTGAGTTCTGCAGTCAGGTCTATTTTTTATTAAATCTGGTGATTTTGAGTCACAGCTGGAGTTGCCTTTGAGAAGCATGGTGGATAGGGCGGCTCGAATGGGGCTTGATTTCCCCCTACGCCTGCAACAGCTTCATCCTGGGAGGCATTAGCAAGAGCAAGTGGCTAATGAGGCTCTGTCTATTTAGCATCTCCTCGGCACTCGTGTGTCCCTCCCCCTGCCAAATTCATGCTCCTTTTGCTGGATCACTAAGCCATCCCTTGGCCCGGCTGCATCTGCAGGGGATGGTGGACCACGAGCAAAACTTCAAGCCAGCATCCCTCCCTGCCCAGGGATGTGGATCGGCATCGCCCCTGGGAAGTGCGATTGCCCTGGGGTGATGCTCATCCTCCCCTCCAGTGGAAAAAGCTCCTTCTCACCTGCGATCTCATTCTCTTCCAGGTCGATGGTCTCCAGGGTTGCGACGGTGGCCAGGGGCTCAGGGAAACGCCGAAACCTGTTGCGGGAGAGGTTGATGGCCCGGAGATGCAGCAGGGAGGTGACCTCCTCGGGCAGGCGGTGCAGGTAGTTGCCTGCCAGGTTGAGCTCTGTGGTTCGGGGAAGAGAGGAGAGAGGTGGTGGCATGGGGGGGAAAAAGACGGGAAAATAATTAATGCATAGCTTAATTTACAGCCTCTGTCCCCCATGGGCTACCAGGTTCAGCAACGGGATTCCAAGTCCAAAAATGGGATTTCTTGCTCATCTCCATCGTTTGCCATTGTACTTCTGCCTGCCGTGAATACCGCTCTTAGAAGCGATATGGTTCTTGGCTTCCTGAGGCTTTCCTAATGAAACCTGTGCAGCATTTTGCAAGCAGGGGCTGTAGAAATAAGCAATATTTCTTAGTGGAGTCAGTGCAATTCTCTCCCCGATGGATATTTGTCATGGCTTAAGGCTAGTTTACTATCTTCATGTGCCTGAACCCCTTCTGAGGTATAAACAGAGTGGTGGAAGAAATGTATTTATATATGAAAAATAATCTGTTCTACAGAGTTTAACCCTCTGTGATACATTCCCCTCCCCAGAAATGAGCTCCTGTGGGGCCAGGAGCAGTGCTCCTGCATGAGAGGCCATTAGCCATGGGAACAGGAACCCAAATCCTGCTGTCCCAGCACCCTTCTCCAGTGACACAGGGCTTTCTGCTCTATAAATATCCATGCAAGCTGCCCTGCCCCTGCTAATATCTGGTATTTATAGGTCCTGCCTTATTCAGGCTGGTGCAAGGCTGTCCCCTGCCCTGGGACATCTCTCGCCTGCAACAGCCCTGCTGAGGCCCAGCATGTTCATCATCAGAGTGATTTGTTCACTGGCGAAGTAAAATCCCTGATGGGAAATGAGACCTTTTTTTCTCCTCAGGGGTTGCTGTGCTGTCTAGAAAAAGAAAATTGATTTCTTTTGCTCGACATGTTTCTTTTCTCCAGCCTAGGGGAGTTTTCACGGATGATGCTCCAAGACAACACGGGAAGCCTCCCCAGACCCCTACCACAGCGGCACTCGTGCAGTACATTGTATGAGCAAAATATTTGCTTTTAAAAGCTGCCAGAGCCCCTGGTGCTGCTGCAGGCAGGCAAAGCCCTGGTGCAGCCCCCAGTGTTCAAAACCACGGCTCTGGATGCTTGCAAGAGCATGTTTTAGCAGATTAGCTTCTAGCTGCTTTCACTGGGCTCCACAGGGATGTGTCCCCGTGGCACCATCCATGCACTGATGACCATCCCCATCTCCTGCAGTGAGTGGAGAGTGAGCAGCTATCACTGATGTCTCATGATGGGGGCTAATTAGCCAGCAGCAAGCCAGCATGCCTTCTGCAGCCTGAAATGCCCCGTCTCTGCCATGCACCATTATGCCCAGGCTGCCTTTCCTGTCTTCTTTCATTCCCAGCCCCGTTGTTGGAGAGAGCTGGAGGATGATGAGTGACCCTGCAGCAGCCTGGCCACTGCTGAAAGCAGCTGGAAGGTGGCAGGGCATGAGTTTGGGAGGGTGGGTGAGAGCAAAACCAGTGGCCCCTTCCTGCAAGGACCAGAAAGGGTAAAGAAAAATGGATTTTTGGGGGTCTGAACCTTGTGCTTGGAATGAGGTGCGAGCACAGAGGAGCAAAAACTGCGGTGGGGAAACTCTCCGGTGCTGTGCTCCCTCTGCAGTGACATGGGGGCTCTTTGCTGGGTCCCAGGGGTTTGGAAGTGGCTGTTGTGAAGCAGTGGGGTTGTCCCTTACCTCTCAGCTGGCTGAAGGTGGTGACGAATCGGCTGGTGAGGGACTTCAGCTCGTTGTTCGCCAGGGAGATGCGGTGGATCCCCTCGGTGACGCTCCTCATGGCTTTGTAGATGCCGACTGGGAAGGTCATCAGCTTGCAGTTGGCCAGATCTGCCCCCAGAGAGACCCAGACACCTTACAACGCACCCCAGCTGGGAAGGAGCAATGCTTGCCATCTTCTTTTCTACCCCTTAATGCTCGATTTTCCTGTCTGGCTGCTGCCACCCATGGCTGCCATTAATCATAGAATCATTTAGGTTGGAAAAGACCTTCGAGATCGAGTCCAACCATCAACCATACCCACTAAACCATGTTCACCTGCCATACTTCTCTCCATTGCAGGGATCTTTGCAGTCACCTCCGCAAGCACCAAGAGTCTGTTCCCATCAGCAATGCTAAGGCTGTTCTGCCTTAGGCGTGTTCAACTCTAAATCACATTGCAAATACTTCCACGCTGCAATGTCCTTTTGAAAACCCTCAGTCGGCCTGTCTGTGCCTAATAACTTCACAACTTAACTTAACTTAGGGGTAATCCCCCTCCCCTATGTCCCTAAGCCCCTGGGGATGGTCCAGCAGCGCAGGGATGCCTCCTCCACCGCTGACTGGGATGGGCACGGAGCAAGGCTTTTCCTGGGCATGCTCCTGGCTGGATTTCCCATGGTGATGGGTGCTTGCCCCGTGGCAAGCAGCGGGGAGGGGAAAAGGATTCGACTTTGCTTCTCACCTGTCGGCATTTTTGTTTTGCTCTGAGTTGTTTCTGTTTCCCCTCCCAGGACGTGCCAGGGGATGGAAAACCTGTATCTTGGCCCCCGTGATGCTCAGCCCGGGCTCTGCTGCCTGCTCCCTTCCCAAAGCCACGGTGGGGGCTGCATAAGCTCGGTCCTCCCCTGCTTATCGTCTCACTCAGGAGGACATCAAGAGGCTGAGCAATGAAGCTCTGACTCTCAGCGTACGCCGATTTAATACCCCAGGGTCGGGAATCCAGCATGAATAAAAATGAGCAGCTTTCATCTCTCTCTTTTGATGAACCATGCGTGGGTCTTGAATATTAGCTAGAAAGGGGGAAACTGCAGAAAAGCACAAACCTGACAAGGCAATGCAGGGAAAGGTGTGGCTCCTGCCATCACTTGCAAGGAAAGACTTTATCCCTGGGGCATGTCCCGTGGGATTATGTGCCATCGCGGGGAACCCACTCAAGCTTTGGGGAGGCTGAGAGCCCTTTGGGGGAGCCTTTCCCTTCCCGGGGGCTGCAGGAGCCTTGGGTGCAGCACCCAGAAGGGTGCCCAACAGCTTTTTTTAGACCACAGCAGCAAAAAATAGAGCCCTGCTCCCGGATACCTGATCCTTCTCTGGGCCCCAAGCGGGAGCCGAGCCGGAGTGCTGGGCTTACCAAGGGAATCCGTTTTGTTCTCCACCGTGTCGTTCACCTTCCTGGCCACCCGGGCCACCGCCTCGCCCATCTTTTTCTGCATGCGGGCGCCCGGTCCCGCCGGGGACGCGCTTCGGCTGGGGGGATCCACGGCTGGAGGAAGAAACCAGCCGCTCCGGCCTTTCAGGAGAGGGATGCTAAAAATAACCAGCGGGATCAGCGTTCCCGAGGGAGGGAGGGAGGCTGTGCTGTGGCTGGCATGGCCCTCAGGGTATGAGATTCGCAAATTTCCAGGATGGTATGTTTGGGATGTGGGGATATATCCCCTTTCCTGGTATGGGATATGAGGATACATCCCCTTTCCTGGTGATGTGGGGCACAGGATTCCCAACTTTCTGGGTTGGTACTTTGGCATTTGGGGATGCGTCCCCTTTCCTGATGATCTGGGGGTGGTGTAGCCCTTGGGGCACGGGATTCCCAACTTTTTGGGTTGGTGCATTTGGGATACGGGGATGCGTCCCTTTTCCCAGCGGTGACTTTGATCAGCTCATCCCCTTCCCCGGTGACTTTGATCAGCTCGGCTCAGCCAAAATGTTTTGGCGGAAGGACTCCTGGGCACGACGACCCGCCTGCACGGGTGGTGGGGGGGGAAGACAAGATACCCCCCCCCCCCCCCAAAAAA